TGCATTTTACCACTTTATGTAGTGCTTTAATATGCCCACTACCTTCTGGTGAAATTTCTCCATCCGTGAAAGTAATAGTATTGAAAGAAATAATATTTCCCACGATTCCGCCCAACTTTTCAACTGTGATGTCATGGTTCAAATGTGCTTGATTCAAAACATCCATTAAAGCCTTGCGATGTGGCTTAGAATTAATGAATAGCGATAGCGAGCCGGTCGCGATGCAACTGTTCGATCACTTTATATTCACTGTGCTTGGTCAACTTCAAAAACTCAGAAGTCTCTTCATTAGATAATATTTTCTTAAATTAACTTACCTTAACCATAACAGGTTCTTCACCCAAAATCTCCTCTAAATCAAGGCAGTCTTTCTCTTTCCCTTTTTCAGTCCGAATTTTATGCTGCTCATCGACTTGTGACGCTTTTAAGGCTTCAGGCTTGTAGCATCTTCCACTTCTGGTCATTCCATTAACTCCAAAAATGTTAGTCACGATGGAGACTTCTTCGTCGAGAGTACAACAACCATAATGTGATGGTACTGCTTTATTATCATTAGGGGCTAGGAACTTGAATAGTTAAAGGCTGCAATGAATGAGTTGGCTGGAACGATGCAGGTTGTTCTTTAAAAAGAACCACCAATGGTTCTAGCTTGAATGAATATTTTGATGACGCCTCTTCTTCTGTGACTATATTGACAAAGTGGGCTTCTACATCATTTCCCTATGTTAAACATGTTGCTTCACTGGAATTCAGACAATCATCCCGTTAAATGTTGATATACGAAGCCAGTAACCTCTTCCCCTACTAATGAGCATGTATGGCATTAACTGTCGGGTTGCCAAGATTAGGAAGTGGATTGTGAGTAACATCTAGCACCTTTTTTGCCTTTTGAAACTTAAGTCATCCTGCCTTAATCAAATCTGCACCTTCCCTTTGAGTGTGTAACAACTTTCTGTTGAATGACCCACTACTCTTGAGTGGTAATCGCATCRCGCATTATGACCGTACCATTTTGGGTATGGTGGCTGCATAGGTTCCATAGTTATTGGAACAATTTTTCGATTCTGAATCAATTGTGGTAGCAACTCTGTATATGTTAAGGGGATTGGATCATAGCTCCTTGAATTATTTCAGTAACTTCTTTGAACATCATACAAGTTAGAATTTCACGTATTAGCACAAGCATCTAACGACTTACTGTAAGAACTTTGGGTTTATCGCCCACCGGATAATGTATAGCCTTTAGATTTCCAGCAAGTGGTCTTTTACCATAACTAATCTCTTGGATTTCTCCCTCTTTCTTTTTTGGGATAAAATTCTTTTTTGTGYTGGCGTCCGATGTTGTATCCATCATCCTTCCATATTTCACTCCATACTCGATTCTTTCTCCAATAGTAATGATATCTAAGAAATTTGTGGAAGCTTTTCTGATCATTCGGTTATAGTAAGGAGATCGAAGAGTGTTTATGAACATGGTCGTCAATTCTTTGTCCATTAATGGAGGTTGAATCTGTGCTGCCATATCTGTCCATCTTTGTGCTTACTCTTTAAAGTTCTCTGTGCTTTTCTTTTCTAGTCGTTGGAGATCCAGACGATTTGGTGCCATATCCAAGTTATGCTTGTATTGCTTGATAAAAAGATCTGCCAGGTCTTTCCATTTATGCACATGAGCTCCATCTAGTTGCATATACCAGCGGGACGCGGAACCAGACAAGCTATCTTGAAAGAAATGTATCAAAAGATTTTCTTTATGGACATGTGCTGCCATTTTTCTGCAATACATGATTAAATGGTTCCTTGGACAAGACATCCCATCATACTTCTCAAACTCGGCTACCTTAAACTTTGGAGGGATAACAATATCAGTCACTAAGCATAATTGTGTTGCATCTATGCTTCCAAATGCGTCCGCGCCTTCTATAACCCACAACCGTTCTTTTAGAAAATCTAACTTTCCTTTCGATGTAGTATCTTCAACTTTTTTGTAACCTTCCCCGAGTTGCAAGATTCATGAACATGAATGGAATCATTCATATCTTTTCTTTGTTGCACCAAAGGGTGAACTTGATCAGGCACCATGAATGATTGATTTTGAGTTGCCCATTCCCCAAACGAAACCATTGGGGGCATATGAGTGTAAAAAATTGGTTGACCAGGTACAACAGTCATGCCCTTATGCGGAGGTACCTGTGGGGTAAAACCAGGAGGATAAAGTTGGGCATCCTCTAGTCCTCCGACGACGTTGCTGGTCCTTCTACCATTGATTTTCCTATCTGTGCCGTGAGCAGGTCCAAAATCTTTGTCATTTGCTCTTTCAAATGTTCAACATCTTGCCCATATTCTAGGTTTCGCTCATTATCTTGTTCAGCCATGATCCTTGATTGCCCTCTTGTTCGATAAGGATGTCGATTTTGAGGTAGTTTGGCTATTTTGTCAAATTGTTCGTTAACCTCCCTATTTTTTTATGAAAAACTGTAAAGAAATTTTTTTGCTTTATAACAAACTTATTTAAAATTAACTTTAATGAGACATGCAATCATAATAAAAACTTTATTGGCTCAAATTGTTGTGCAAAGTTGAAAAATGAAAGACTTTAACTTTATTAAATTAGATAAATAATCAAAATACAAGATTGAATCTAAATATTTGGAATAAATGTTCTAAAAGAAATGAGTAAAAAGGGAAAGTTCGCTACATAAGACGACTAAAAAGTCTTCTAACTCCTCTCAATTTGACTGTAGTGGCGAAATCTCCTTTCTTAGCTCAGTTGCCCACTTTACAAACATCTCAGCTCTTCTAGCCATTGGCCTTATTCTCTCCACTGCGCCACCTATCTGAGCCCTCATGTCTTCGCAGCTCTGAGTTAAATCTTGGTTTTCTTGTTGCAGAATCACTTAATTAACTTCATTACTTAGAAGCACCTCATACTTCCCCACCAATTCTCTGTGTTCTGATAATATTCATGTTGTAGAGTCTTGACATCTTTGAATCCGAAATTCCAAGTTTCAATAGTCATATGCAATGCATTGTTATTTCTTTCAGATTCAACCACTTGTTGAGTACGAGCCTCGATTGTTGTATTCAATTCAGAAATAAGCTGTCGAAAAAATGCAATGCTATTCTCCAAGCTTATAATTCGCGCGTCCTTTTCTTTTTGTACAGCTTCTAACCTTACTTTCATGGCTCTGACTTTTTTATCGAGGTGTTTGTTTTCAAGGTCTAATTCTCAATTCTCCATTTCAAGCTTAATTTGGTTATGCAGCAATTTCCTGGTTTCCACCAAGTCCCTCTCTGCCTCTACGGTCTGTTGTTTCCACTAATTCACTTATTGCAGCGACTCTTCATTCCTCTGACGGAGTAACAAGCTTTCTTCCTTTAGGTTGGTGCTTTCATTTGACACCTACCATTGGATGGAGGCCATTTTCTCTTCTTCATCCCTTTTCCTTTTCTTAACTGTATGCACTATTTGATTAGCTTCATACCAGGACTTGTACTCTAGTGTGGTGGAGTCATTGTGCTTTTTGATTTTTTTTCTTTCTCACATCTCGCCAAGATCACTTGCAAGATCTTCTTCCCCGAGTCTTTCAAATTGTAATCAAAGTCAAAGTTCCTAAACCTTGTACCACAGGAACGAACTGCGCTATCAACATTTGGTGTATAACTAGAATATGCGCCTACTGCCCCAAGGACCCAACAATGGTACATTCTGAAGTTTTCCACACCTGTAAGTGATTGGCTTTAATGGCATCCATAATGCTCTCCATATTACCTCTTCAGATTTTAACTCTTTCAGGAAGGATACCCATATGTCTCTGCTCTGTGCATCTACTTTGCGCTCAGACATCCCAAATTCAGCAATTGGATTTCTCTCAATATTCCACTGTCTTGAGAATTTTACGTGTGGCTGACCAAATTCTAGTAGGCACTTTAGATTACTCATCAACCATACATATAGTAGAGGAGTGCAAGCTATAAATCTTCCCTTTCCATGCGTTTTGCAAAAATCCAATGAACGTATGGTTTCAGTGAGAATGGATAAAACCGGATTAATTCCATGCTGAATCTAGAGGAACAGCTTGACAACATTCATATCTATGTATCCACGAAGATTTGGAAACAGGATGGTCCCAAACATGCACAATGAAAATAGCTCCAAGCCTAGCTCCTTACCCCTATGCTGTTGAACGAGGGTTATGAGGTAATCCAATGATATTCCGTCATTGTCGCCCTTGCTCTTGATTCGATGCTCTATTTCACTAGCAGTTACATTTCTAGCGAGTTTTGTCGGAGCCCTTTTGCCTGTCAATCTTTTATCATAGAAATATGTCTTAGTTTCAGACACAACAGGCATTCAGAGCAACTCTTGATACTCTTCGATCGTGAGAGTCAAGTCGAGGGAGTTGAACTTGAAACATTTGTAAGCTGGATCCCAGAAAGAGAGTGTGGTTGCTAAGACATTCACATCAACCTGAACACCGTACTTCTTTACAAATGCGAGTTTCTGCTCTGATGTGAATCCCTCTCAATTCTCTTTCAATTTGCTTACATTTTGAACACTAAAAACATTGGTCGCCGGGAGTTCAACTGAGACGTGTTTTGCTAGGCCGCTCCCCTTCATTGGATACATCTCCTCTGACCACTGTATACATCTTCGAGAGACGACCAAGCCCCACCAAACTTATTCCAGCATTATTTCTAGAATAAGTTTGTAAATATGCATTTTTTCTCTTTGTTTTTAATTAAAACAACATTAATTTAAAAATAAGTTTAATAAAAAGTATTCTTTAAACAAATATCTGGTTCCTCCTCGTAGGTATCCGCCGAGGAGTGAAGGTCGTGCCAAGGGTCCAAGGGGGCCACCGAAATTTTCAACATCTATTAAATATAAATTTCTGCTTTCCACAATCAAAATATATAAATTTCTAAAATATAAATGAATAAGTTCGTCATTAATTTTGTAAATAAATTGAAGATATTCACTAAGACTAGTATTATTTAAAATGTCCAACCTACTCTCCCTCCATAGCCAGCCTTCTTCGCCACTGCTGTCTCCGCCGGTAGGGTTTGTTTATAAAACATTTAAGAAAATTCCTACGTCGAAAATCTAAGGGTCGGGTTCTCTCTGGTATCAGAACCGTTTCAGATTGGTCCAAAAGATCTCTTTAACCCAACCTGATCCAACCGATCGTTTTCCACAATCGCTGAATATATCTGATTGAGTAGAGAACAGAAACATTTGGGATAGTTGAAATTGAAATGGAGCTTCAAGATTTCCCACCCATTTTTGGAGAACCCAAATTGGAGTGGTTAAACAGCGGTTCGCTTCCTGTGCGCCGATTTGTGTTCTATGTTCACAATCCCAATCCTTCGCACCTCAGATTTTGTGTTACCGATTTCCATTCCAACACTTGGGAAGCCATCAGATCGGTTCCGCAGCTTCAGGACATGGTGGGCATGTTTTATTCTCCCTGTACGTGCTTTCTTCATATTCATCAGCTTCGGATAGTTATAGTTACACAACTTAAAGTTCTATATCTCTTTATTATATTATTCTTTGATTTCTAGTAATTTATTGCTCTTAATGTTTATTTTTGTTCAAGAGCAAGTGAGGAAAATGAGAAAATTGTAATTGTGGTTTCTTAGAAATGTTTAGTTCTCAAGCTATACTGTATGCACTTTTCTGTACAGAGGGATGACATTGGAATTGGAGGGGATATGTCCGAGTTTCTTAACTATCTCATTACTTCCCTGAAACTTGGAGATGTAAAGCTTCGTCTTGAAGGACACTGGGGGAAGGAAGGTAATCTTTTTTTTTAAAATTACCAATTTAGTACCATGATTTGGGCTTCATTTCAATTTGATTCCTCTGGTTTAGTGAAATCTGAAAATTTGTCTTTGTCGTTACAAGCTATTACCAATTTACAATATAGAATTTGTGGCACGTGGCAATGAGTATTTGGTTGGCTCTATTAAGGTTTATGGTTGAGTAAAAAAATAAAAGGTTATATTGGGTTTGCTGGGTGAGCTGAAAACGGTTTATTATGAGATTAACCAATCAAACTTAAAAACTTTTAACCATAGAAATCAAATTAAAACTAGACCCGAACCTAGGATCAAATTGGTAATTTAACATAAATCTTTTACATTATGATTCATTCAAGTTCTCTTTTCAGATATGTTTTGAAGCCTTTTCTTATTTTGTTTTGTTTTGGTTATCTTTGCTAATATAGATGCTTCTACAGTTGCAACACATGCCAAATTAAGTTCCCAGAAATCAAAAGGAATGCCTGTTTTTTCTATTCCTCTCACAAAACTCGTGGACTCAGCTGCTTCTGAAGCTGTGGCAAGTCTGTCCTTTGGGCTCTTTAACTCATTGAAAGACATGGAATGTTCACTTATAAAAGGTTGTTGTTACTTACACTATTATATTTTATACTATAATCACATATTTAATTACTCTTTAGTTATAACAATATATATCTTTAATGTGTCGATTGTGGGAAAATGTTGGCGATTTTATGAAACATTTCTCGTCTTCAATTGTAACCTTGTGATAGTTTTGTCTATGGAGCTAGAATTGTATCAAATCACGTGTTTTTATAACCCTCACCATTTGGTAAAGGGAAAGAACAAGATGGGAGGATAGGCATCTTCTTTATTTCATTTATTTGTTTGTTCTATTAAGGTTTTGTTATTTGCTTGCCTTGGTTTCAAATAACTTCATTTGAATTTGATCATGTTATATTTTCTATTCTTATAGATGATGAAAAGATTACATCAGATAGTCCCTTATTCGAATCATGTATATTGGAAATATGTTGGCTCTTGGGTGCGTTTGATTAACATTAAAGGCTAATGATTCATATGTTGATGGTTTGCATGTGTGCACATCCAAATCAAGTTCTTAATTTAATTTCAAACAGTGCCTAATTTAGTTAAGTTGATTGGGACCAGAGTAGGGGCGGGCATAAACACGGTAGTCTCAGTCAAAACTATCTTAGGCAAGCTATTTCTTTTTGGTCCCTCATTGATGATATTTAACTGGCTCAAATTCTACCACGAGAGTGAACTACTTGGATTTTGTAAGACTTTTTACTTGTAAATTACATTTTGATTTTCAAATTATAGAGCAAGCTATATTATGTGCATATTGTATTTTTTCTTTACTTTCTTTTCTTGTTTTGAATCTTTATCTCTTCCTTGTGTCCTGATAACTTTGGTGGGCATAGTTTGATGCAACTTTCATCTGTAATCTATGTTTGGAATATGGTTTTTCTTGGAAAATTTTATTTTTCACACATGAGCATTAAATTTATCATCATTAAAATTGATGTTTCTTTCCCGTTGTACTTTCAGAGCAAGAGCACTCCCTTCAGTTGACAAACATGATATCATCAGAAAAGGTACGTCCGTCTTACATTTTGAACGATGTCGCTTTTAATCATACATTTCTAGTGTGTTCAAATACCTTGCCCTAGTCTAAAACATGCATTGATTATTGTGTAAGTCCCTAATCTAAAACATGCATTATTATTGTGTAAGTTAGGTAAGTTTGTGGAGTGCGTTTTAGCTGCATAGTATTTTATTGTTATTAGAAGGGTTTACTCCAGATTTTCCTTATGTAAACTTTTGTTGCTTGCATTTTATGCATGAAACGGCTGAGATTAGGATTGTTATGGTTTTAGTGAAATTCCCTTGGAACTAGGGGTGAAGGTCAGTTGGGGGGTTGGTTATAGACCGATAGTGGGGTTTGGGGCTAGTGAATGGAACAAAAATTTTCTTCATTAAAGAAACTCACTCATTACCATCTGACGGTTGAAAGCCAGATATATCATATGAATGAGGCACTCTTGGCAAAATGGGAATGGAGATATATGAATGAGAGGAATGCTCTTTGGAGGGACATCATGGCTAGAAAATACGTTGCAACAGGAAGAGAGTCTCCTTGCCCAAAAGCATACAACAAAGTTAAGGGCCTTGGTCTAGATATCCAAATGTTGTCTTCAAGCTAATAAATGGTACAGTTTGAGATTTGAAGAGGAGATAAAGCTTTATTCTGGGCAGATCAATGGCTTGCGAATTCTCCCTTGATAACAACCTATCCAAAACTTCATATGTTGGCAAATACCAAGGATTCCCTCGTTGCCAGCCCACTGCTGGAATGTATCTTCCAAGAGGTGGGATCTCACATTTAGAAGAAACCTAACTGATCAGGAGATCAGCAAATGGGCGTCCTTGATAAACTTGCTTTCTGGCTTTAATTTTAGATATTGTGATGACATGAGGAGGTGGTCTCTTGAAAAGGATGGCATCTTTTCTGTTAAATCAATGAATCAAAAGTATTGTGGAAGAAGTGATGGCATCAGTAGTTTATTTGTGAACATTATTTGGCAAGCCAAAATTCCAAAAAAGGTAAAAGTCTTCTCGCGGCTATTTAATTTACTCTTGGCAAGCTTAGTAGTTAGTACGCACAACAGAATTCAAAAGAGATCTCTCAATTGAGCTTAGTCTTCTAGTTGGTGTGTGATGTGCAAAAAGGATGGGGAAGATGGCAAGCACCTTTTCTTCTTGTGCCCTTTTGCCCCTAGTGCTAGAGCAGACTTTTCAGTATTTTCAACTTGTCATGGGCCTTCCCTGCTTCAATTCCAGACGGCTTGCTCCAACTTTTGTATGGGACGTTTTTGGCCAAGCTGGAGTTTTGTGGTATAACGCCGGTGGTGGCTCTTGATGTAGTCACTAAAGGGTTATTTTCATTAAGTCTGTTATTTCTTGTTGTTAGTCAGGTTAGGTAGTTAGCCTCCAATGGCTAGTTCTTTTATCACTTGTGTACTAAGGCTCCTATCTATAAGGAGTTCTCTTTGTCCTTCAAGGCAGACTTCAGTTTTAATAAAAATCTCTCTCAATTGGTGACCGCTTTAGCAAGATGGCCCGTTTTTTAGCTTGCAAAATGAGTTTTGATGCTGTTTACATTGCTAACCTTTTTTTTAGAGAAATAGTCCGGCTCCATGGAATCCCAAAGACAATAGTATCTTATCGTGATGTCAAATTTCTTAGCCACTTCTGGAAAACATTGTGGCGTAAATTTGACACATCGTTCAAATACAGCACCACTAGCCACCCTCAAACGGACGGACAAACAGAGGTAACCAATCGCACATTAGGCAACCTAATTAGATGCCTTTCATGTGATCGACCAAAACAATGGGATCTAACCCTAGCACAAGCAGAATTCGCTTTCAATTATATGTGCAATAGAACCACAGGGAAGTCCCCATTTGAGATAGTTTACACTAAGCTACCCCGTGAACGGTTGATCTTACTAACATACCATCTTATGTTGATGTTAGCCTAGAGGCAGAACACATGGCAGATCGAATTGTGCAGTTGCATCAGGAAGTCCGTGACCATTTGAGGCTGCTAACAAATAGTACAAGACGGCTGCAGACACAAAGCGTCGACAACACACGCACCATCAAGGAAGGAGATTGTTAGACCCCCAGTAACTAAAACATATTCTAGAAGGGATAGAAAGGGAATTGTACTAGGAAGACAAGAATAATCAAGGGAGCGAAAGAGAATAACGGCCTGGAGAGAGAGACTGTGGGCCAGGGTGGGTGGTTGGTTAGAGCAGGGTAGAAATAGACTTGCGAGGGAGGGGAGGAGGTATTGTGGAGATTATTAGCTCAAGGTAGCGGTAGGGAGAGTTACCCACCCTCTCGAATTGGTGGGGTGTTGCTTGTGATTGCCTGCGGGCTCTTTTGCTGAATTCCAAAAGCATTGTGAGGAGATACCTCACAGAGATTTGGTGATGAATACTAAAGAAAAGGACGCTTCCCCGCTGGAAAACACAGCAAACTGAACAAGAAAAAAGTTGGACCTTTTCCAATTCTACAACGTGGACCAAATGCATTCAAGCTACATCTACCACCTGAATACAACATCAGCCCTATCTTTAATGTTGCTGACCTATCCCACTATGCTGCACCTGACAGTTTTTCTTTAGCCCCATAAACTCGAGGTCGAGTTTTTTCTTAGAAGGGGGCAATCTGATGTAGTCATTAAAGGGTTGTTTTCATTAAGTCTGTTATTTCTTGTTGTTAGTCAGGTTAGGTAGTTAGCCTCCAACGGCTAGTTCTTTTATCACTTGTGTACTAAGGCTCCTATCTATAAATAGGAGTTCTCTTTGTCCTTTTAAGGCAGACTTCAGTTTTAATAAAAATAGACTTCAGTTTTAAATTCTTCATTTGGGAGCTTGCTCACAAGGCCATTAACACAAACGACAAAATTCAGCGGAGGTTACCCTATCTCACCCTCTCTCCCCAATGGTGCATCCTTTGTAAAAGAAATGAGGAAACACAGCCACACCTCCTCCTCACTTGCCCCGTTGCTATAAAGTTTTGGAATCAGTTAGACAAGAAATTGTTCTTACTCGTAAATCAGTTAGAAGATCAGTCAATTAGTTAGTTTTACACTTTGCATAATTGGCTTCTTATGATCGGTCGGGTGGCATTGACTAGTAGGCGTTGGTTTGGTCAAGTTTAGTCAAGGTTCTCTACTTGATATAAAAGTTGGCATGCTTCCCTTGAAATATACTTATACTAGGACTAACAAGGAGGGGTGAAAAGGGAATGTAGGGACAGAAATGCGGAATTAGTTTATGGGAATGGGAATGCGTAGGGAAGTGAAGTAAAGATTGGGAAGTTCATGTTTGTGGTCTTTGGAGAGGGAGAGGAATGGTTGAATTATCCTCAAGTTGTTCTATAATATTGCTAGGCTAAAGTTGCTCGACCTATCGTAGGCTTGTGAAAACTCATGAAAGTTCAATTTTTTGAAAAGAAGTTTGAAACTATGGATTGTTCTGATTAGTGCCATCAGATTTGATTCCTCAAGTTTCATATTTTGTAAACTTTAAATCCTTGTTCATCTCTTTTGCTTAACAATATGCAAAACAAACAAGCCAGTAATAAAGACCGGAAAATACTCAACACAATGGTAACACAAAAATCGTGTATTTCACAATCTCTTCTCTCCCATCGTCTCTCTTATAAATCATTATTGAAGCAGTTTACTTTGGTCTTTCATGTATTTTGTTATTTCTGTGGCTTCGCATTTGGAATTTCATTTTAATAAAATGTTAATAAGACAAAATATATATATATATCAAGAACATGGATGACCTTTATACCCTCACTTATTCTGCCACGTTAGGCTTGGCTGTTTTGTTTTCAAGGTAGTCCTAGTGTCGATTCATTTTCCACCATGGTTGGGTGGGGAGGTGTAGTTCATTTTTAATAGAGTTGTAATGCAACTGTATTATAACTGTAGCATTACTCGAAATTTACAACATGCGTTTTATGTCAATATTGTGACATAGTCGGTAGTCCGTAATGGTATTTTGATAAGCTTCAGGTTTGTCTTTGAACTTGAGTAAAACGTCTCTAATTGGGATTTATGTGGAGGAAGACATCCTTCAGAATACGGCCAATAGCTTGGGCTGTAAAGTGGAGAAACTCCCTGTTTCCTACTTCCTGTTTCCTACTTGGGCATTCCCCTGGGAGGAAATTTTAAGAAGAAATCATTTTGGGAACTTCTTACTGACAGTGAAGAAAGGAATTGAAAAGTGGAAGAATCTCCTTCTTTCGAAAGGGGGAGGCTAACTCTAGCTCAGTCGGTTATTACTTGCTTACCTCTCTATTTTTTCTCAATCCTAAAAGCTCCAAAGGGGGTTGTTAAAGAGATAGAGAGGTTGACTAGAAACTTCTTCCGGAACGGAGGAACTTTAAAAGGGGCTTGCAACCACCTGGTAAATTGGGGGAAAACAGGCCTCCCCTTGCAGTGTGGTGGGCTGGGTATAGGGGCTCTACAACAGCAGAATAATAGCCTCCTTCTAAAGTGGCTTTGGAGATTCACTCAAGAACGCCTTATGGAGGAGAGTGATAGTCAATATTTATGGTAAGGACAAATACGGATGGGGTACTCTCCCTCCCAAAGGTAGTGCTAGAGGTAGACCGTGGTATGAGATCGCCAAAAATAGTACCTTCTTCTTCAAATTTCTGAAGTTCAAGGTGCAGAACGGGATTCGTATTAAATTCTGGTTGGACGCATGGGTTGAAGAAAGGCCCCTCAAGGATATGTTCCCTGATCTGTTTAATATTTCCACCAAAAAAGAGGCCATGGTTGCTGCCTGCTGGAATGGTAGTGAGAATGACTGGGATTTGGGCTTCTGAAGAGGCCTTGACTGGGAAGTTGAAAGCTGGATCAACCTTATTATTGATGTGGTGAGGCTTGGGGAAGGAGAGTACCATGTTGTTTGGTCTCTAGGAAAAGATGGGCTTTTTTCTACTCGTACTGCTAGGATAAAAATGGTGGAGTGCAACCCTCCTTAAGATCTCTCATCTCGGCGGTTTGGAATTTCAAAGCTCCAAAGAAGATTAAAGTTTTTCTTTGGTCCTTAGCCCACAGAAGTCTCAACACACATGACTTACTCCAAAGTGCAGAAATTGGGTGATCTCCCCTTCAGTTTGCAGTCTTTGCAATGAAAGCAGCGAAACCATTGATCATATTTTTTCTCACTGTCACTTCGCGGCAAGAGGATGGCATTTCCTTTTGAACATTTTTGGGTGGCGACATGCTTCCCAAAACATATAGATGATTGGTTGGTGGAAATTCTCCATGGGTGGATGATTCCTAAGAAGGCTAACTTTATTTGGAAGTGTGCTTCAAGAGACCTTTTATGGCATCTTTGGATAGAACGGAACTCTCGGGTCTTCGAGGATAGAATCAGCCCTTTTGACATTTTTTGTAGGAATGTAGAGCACACTACTTCTTGGTGGTGTATTAATTATGGAAAATTCTTTTGTAATATCAACCTTTCCTTGTTCATGAACAATTGGAAAGAGTTGGTCTAGCTTTTGGGTGGGGTTGCCTCTACCCCAGCCCGTTCGCTGTATCTTTCTTTTTGTGGTTAATGAAAGTTTCTCTAAGTTTCTTATAAAAAAAAAAGAAGATAATCCTTCTGCAATATCTTTAGCCATTCTTCTGTGAGAAACCTGTTCATCATAATTCCAATAGATTTAGTTTCCCCCATGGATTTCAAATCATGGGTCTCTCTCTATTTTTTAAAGAGTTCTCTTGTTTATAATTATTTTTTGTTAATGTCAGGAAAAATACGAAAGTATTCAGAGCCATCTCGGGCAATATACAAAGAAACAGAAGTTGCAAAATATGAATGCCTCAAATTCTCCAGGTTTGATTCTTTATATATATAAATTATATATACATACGAACATGAAAGTCTTTAAAATATTGTGTTTCAGATTCATAGGTCCCCAGTAGTTTGAAATGTCAATTTTATTTGCATAAGCACTGACTGAGAATTTCTCATTCTCCATAGATAAGTCTGTTCATAATATTGGCTCGACAAAAGTAGCCAATCGTGTAGTGCCAGCGCATCGCAGGTCGGTACCTCAATGTTACATCAATCACATATTTTATTAATTTGTTCGCAGCTGTATATATCATTATATCTGGGCAGGGCAAAAACAAGAGGAGCCCTTTTGCAAGACTCTGAAGATGACACTGGTAGGTATGACTTGATATGTTTTGTGCTTAGTTTTAAGTTTCAAGTCTTGAAAAGCTCTGCTCCAGCCATCATTCTCACCCTTTTAACTGGCAAAAATCTCCATGGGTTTGGTCCTTGTGGGTTTTGCTCCAAACACGATGGAGAATCATCATCTGAAGCGGGATTTGGGGTCGAGAGGGCTATCTCTCTCCTCCATAAAACTTTTCCAAAGTTTACAAACTTATGCTTATTCCTTGCAAGTTCTATTTTTTGCACAACAACGTTGAATATAGCATTATTAAAACTAACCGTTTTCTCCAATCTTTTCCCCTAGAACAAGAGCGCTCCCTTCAGTCAACAAAAATCTCGGATGAAAAGGTATATTTGTCTCTCATTCACTTTTAAAAAAAGTTGCTGGTGAGTGTTTCTTTATGCTCTTATAGGTGCGTTTTTATTGTCTCGAGACCCCATTAGATAAGTAGAAATATAGTCGTGATTGTCGTGTATCTTCTGTATCTTAGAGCGTATCTTGATCTTGCTTATTATTTGTTAATTCTGCACATATTTTGCAACTCTCGAACTTTCTTTTTAAAATGTTAGGAAAAGAAACAGGAGTTGCATACTACAATTACCTCAGTCAATAAAGATGAGTTGCAAAAGTCTCCTGGTATGCCTTTTTTATTCAATATTATTATTATTATTAACTTAATGACCTTTATGCATTTATGCAATTTGTTGCCTGTTTTCTATAGATTCGTCGGTGTCATTCGAGCACATACAATAGTTTTAAATTTCAAGCGTATTTGGTTTTCTATGCTTTACATAATCAATTATTGTAATATCTCGTTCTTAGCAGACAAACCTGTTAATGATATCAGCTCGACAAAGGTCACCAATCGTGTCATGCCAGTACACCGCAGGTCGATTTCTCAATTAACGTTAGACCCCATTTTGTTTGTTATTTTTTCCAACACTGGTAGACATACTCTAGCTTGTACTTGGCAGGGCCAGAACAAGAGGTGCCCTTCTACAAGATAATGAAGATGACGGTGGTCGGTAAAGCGATGTAGAATCATTCAGTGATAAACGAAAATATACGGATAACAGTGGATATTTCTTTCACAAAAGGGATTATGCAATGCAGATGTTTGTTCCAAAGTTTCATGAAAAATGAAATTGTTGTTTCTTATGGTAATATAAATATCATCCCACATTCTGTTTCGTTTGAATTTTACTTTCTAATGAACCTTATAAACGGCCTCTTTAAATTAGGCCTTAGAGTGTAATTAGGAATTTCTAATCGATCTTTGAACTTTTAGGATGATATTTAATTAGTTCTCATACACAAAAGATTTTAATAAGTTCATGAATTTTTTATTTCGTGTTCTATGAGCTCTCGTTATTGATTCCATTAATTTAACGTTTACATCGCCAAATTTCTGAACCTATTTGAAATTATCCTTTCAATGTGTTTTTTTAAAATAAAATAGTGAGTTGCTTCATAATTGAAATTAGAAGTTCGTTGGACTTATTAAATTTTATTAAAAGTATATGAACTAATCGATATAACCTCAAAATTTTAGGGATTTATTATTACAAACTTTTGAAACTTCACATATCTATTAAAGTTCTAATTCTAACGCTATAAAAAATTGGACTCGAATTGTAATTTAATTTAAACTTATATGCATTACCGTATCTGTAATTTTTACAAATGTACGAGTGGGAGCCGGCTTACAATACTATCTATAAAATATAAAGTTAATATATAATTTTGTCTCTTACAATTTTCAATTTTTTTAATTTTAAATTTGATCTTTTATGGATTAATTTTCTTTTTCAATCCAGGCTTAATGTGAGAATTTAAATTTTGTATTATTTAATAAGATTGCTAGTTTACTAAATAAATAAAACATCAAGAGTCTCATTTATGAATGGCGTAATGCATCTCTGGTGGGGTGAGGTCGAGGAGGATAGACGACGTATTCATTAGATCAATTGGCCTCGTAAATGTTACGGGGGCTTTGGTGTAATTTAACCGGGCGCTGCTCGCTAAGCAAAGATGGGGAATCTTATCTAAACCATCATCGTCCCTCTGCGTCGCCGTCGCCTTTAATGATGGAATGCTAGAAACCCAGTTGTGTGGCTGCTAATTGGATTTCTCTAGATTTAGTCCTCCTACATTCAAATAATTGTATGGATTTAGTCTCTAAATTTCAGCATGTGATAATATTAATCATAAAAAATTACTTCTAATTAGATCATTCAGAAAAAAGAAAAAAGAAAACAAAAATACAAAATTACATGAGTCTTTTTGAGTATGATTAGACCCAGACTATATACATCATGTTACCACTTGACAGAGTCTCGTGGATAAAGAGGTACTAAAAAAATATAAAGGTAAAGTTTGATAAAATAGCACTTGCATTCTTAAAACATACCCTACACATTTTGGACCATATAGCTCAGTTTTCACAAGTGCACATTTTGGGACAGCTTTTAATGCCCCGGCCCCCTTTGGAAAAGCCTGCAAAAAAGCTTATCTTATAATAATAATTGGTGGCCATTATTTTTGTCGCATATTATATGTATGGCATGCTCTCTCTCTCGTTTTAATGATTTGATTTTGATTTTGATTTTGATTAATATAAATAATATTAATATTAAATAAAATATAGATATCTCAGCATCGTCGTTGTCAAATGTGATGTCCAAATAAAAGGAATCGACACTTTATTGTGATGCCCTCTTTCACAAATTTTAAGTTAGAATCAAATTTTGACTTAAATACTTCACTAATATTCCTAATCATAATATAGAATTTATTATAATAAAATAAAACAAACTTCGAGACTTAGCGGCATATACCTCCAACTAACAGGTAGTGAGTTCAAATCTCTTCTCCAACATGTTGTATTAAAAAAAATAAAACTTCAAATTCTTGGCTTGATGTTCTTTCTTATATTGCCTAATGACACATATTTTTAACTCTTTTTTTTTTTCGTTTTAAAACTCGTAATAAGATTTTTGAGTGAATCATCAATTTGACTTCAAATCATAAATTATTGATAGAAACTTTGCATCTTTATCTTATTGATAAAATTCAAACATAAATAAGGTTTTTTAATGAAGAAATAAAACTCTAAATCCTAAAATTTAAATCTTAAAAAAATAATATACTACTGAAAATAAAGCAAGAATAAGCACATTGATTAGTTAGTATATTTATTTAATTATTTAGTAAACATTTCATTAAATGACCATAAATTTTCATTAGATAATAATACGTTTTAAATTACAATAATAAATGTAATAAAATGATATTTATTGAGGCACTTTTGAAACAAAAAGACTTATTTAAATCCTAAAAATCTAGATTTGTAAATATTAAAAAAAAACATTTGTGAAATATCATGGGTAATAACTTCCACGTAAACAATATCTCTAATTAAAAATTTGTGACTTATAGAAATAAGAAGTATTAATGAAAAGAATTAACTCAATTAAGGTGGATATGTAATCTAAAGAAACTACGACCAAATATTATTTATGATACGAATATATAATTTTATATTAAGGAAAAAAGGGTTTTACCCTTTATTGACCTATAAAATTAAACTCTAAATTTAGTAACTTTTACAATTTCCTCAGTTTAATTTTCCACCTCTAAAGTCATATCAAATTAAACTCTAACTTTAGGTAGGTATTGCTATTAAATCTTTTAGAAAAGTTAAATTATAAAAATTACTCATGTTTATTCAACTTGTCGGTCTAGGTCGAAATTGGTTAGAGGGATGACTTGGAACGATTTTAATGTCGTCCAATAGAAAAATATCTGTCTAAGATAAGCAAACACTCCGACCATGGTATATTAAGATTGAGCTAAAATTTGATACTTGATACTCTATTTATATAGATGTAGCATTTGGCAAAACATCGAAAAAAAATACTAATTACCATTGAGCTAAGTTCATATATTAGTAAAATAGACAAAATTTAGCTGCTGCTCCCTCGAATAATGGAAAGAAAAAGACATCAATTCTTTTGCAGCACGTGCTTACGAAGTACAGGTGACAAAAATTCTCTACCGTAGGATGATAAAAAGTCTATTGGACGGCTGCAATGGTGCCAGCCACCTCTTCTACAATGGGGCCGATGGGATTTAGCACCATTAACATTTCTTTGATATTTATCATTGTGTTGTTTAAAAGTATATACAAATCCTTTAACTAAATTTAAAAATATAAACAACCCTTTTGAATAATGTTTTTAGATCGAATTTAATAACTATTTTTATCGGATAAATTTAAGGAGACGCGCATCTAAATACTAAATCAAATAAATCAAGAAAAGTTGACTACACTGGATCGAAGTATCAAATAGATCTCAATAATCCATACGCCAGATAGTCAAAAAGGTAGGATACCGTCTTGGACACCACCATGCCTCTCTATCGGGCCCGGGAGGATCAAAGAATGTTGATGGACCCCATATTCCCACTTGCCTCTCTCTTCCACGGGTAAACACTACTCCTACGGGAAACTATGCACACCCTTATGAAAAATCTTACTATGTGCTCCATATCCATTTGCTCCCACTTCAAATAGTAAATTTATTATTAAAGTGCGATCCATGTAGTACCACACTAGTGATAGTTTTCTATGTRCAGGTAAAGTTCGAGCTAAGATAGAAAGGTGTAAGTGGCATTTATGTGGTACCTACACATCACCGTTTCAAAATAACAACTATTTTATTTTCCTTTTCTTATCTTTTAAAATTAAACTTATCAGCACTATTTTCACACCTACATTATTTTTTTACCCTGTGTTACGTTTTGGAAAATATTTACCAGCACTAAACCAAAATTTTGATTTTTAAATATTTGTTTTTGTTTTTGAAATTTAACTAAAAATTCAAGTGTTTATTAGAACATTATTTTAGCACTCACCGATGACCTTCATTAAATTTCCATTCTCTCCGTAATTTTATTTTCATCCTTTGTAGATCGGTACACAGACAAATATTATTAAAATTTTTAAATCTAGCCTAGATTTTGTAAGATTTAGGAAAATTTGAAAATATGGTCTTCCATAATTGATTTTGGATTTATGACCCCTTTTTTAAAAAGCCTAACTTGTGACCCCACCTCCCCTTATGTTTGATTTCTTCAAATTTTTATCTTTAGGAAAAGACGAATTTACCCTCCTGGGTTAATAAATATACAATACATTAAATTTTCACCTACCTATCCAAATATTGTTGTCCACGTCTTTGATCATATTATCTACACACTATCCAAAATCATTGTCTCCACATTTTCACTTTTGAAAAGTTAGGTATGTTACATTTTCAAAATTTTTACTTTAAATTTGTTGAAATTATTTGGAATATTTCTCCAAAAAACCATGGTTCATATCGTTGTCTCGGATCAATACTCGATTCGGGATTGAAGTTATATTGCACTGAGATTGAATAATTTTATCCTGCATTCAATCTCGGTGCAATTTGGTTCGGGACATGATCCGAGACATATCTCGGACTGATCTCGAACCAAGATTGGTCCGAGACACTTCCCGGACTAATCCCGGACAGTCCGGGATGAAGCAAATTTTTATTTTATTTTGTTTTTTTTTGTTAACTCTTTTCTTATCTCACGTAGTTTTATTCGATTTGCTGGATTGAGTCGGATCGAATCTGGAAAACGATTATTCTATTTTTGATATCTGGAGCCCTACAATCTACCGTAAAACAAATTGGCTGCTTCAGTTAGCTCCGAAAATGGAAACCTAACACTAAGTAACGAAAAATTTTAAAGATTCGAGTCAATAACCTCGCTTACTCCGAGATCCAAGACAATGATGATGTTGGTTGGTGATGGTGGATGCAAAACGTTGGAACAGATGAAATAGAATGTTCACTATGGATGGATTAGACGAAGAGTCCGAGAATAGGGAGGGAACGAGGGGAGACAAATGGTTCGAGTATATAGGTTTAGGGTGATGTGAAATTTGAAACATGAGGGTAATAGAGTAATTTCACTTCTACAAATTTTGAAAGTGGTCATAAATAAGGGTGGCTGTGTTCACAAATTAAGTTTTTTTAAAAGGGGTTATAACTCCAATTTCAATTATGGGTGTGGTCATATATTCAAATTTCCCAACATTAAAGACGTAAACAAGAATTAAAAAAATGGACGAATAAAAATAGTATTCCTAAGTTTTTTCTTAATTGCAACACTAAAAGTGGTATAAAAAATATTACTAAAAGTAAAATGACCAAAATAAATATAGTAACGGTAATTGTCATATATTCCGAAGATTGGAATTAAAAAAAAAATAAAAATAAATTACAGACATTTTGACAGGGATAGGGGGGAAATATAACAATACAGACGGAAATTACGCACAGAGAAGGCCGCCGCCGCCGCCACCACCGTCCGGAGTGGAGGCCGGGCCTAGCGTTTCTTGGGAGAGGCGGAGGAGCTGCCGCCGAAGACGATTTTATTGAGCAACTCATTCTTGGTTTTGCTTCTCGACGCCGGAGCGGAAAACGACGGCCCCGGATGCATCCTCCGGTCACCGGAGCCCTCCTTTCCGCCGCCCTTCGCCGCCGACTTCTCACTCATCGTCCCACTTCTCTCTCTCCTCACTGTAAGTAATTCAGAGGCTGAGTTTGCTCTCGCTCAGATCTAGTTGAAGAAGAAGGGGGGCGATTTTATTTATAGGAGAATGGGATGAATGACACTTTTTTACCTTTTTTTTTAAATATAAAAATTATTACAAATATTTAAATTATCAAATAAAATATTCTGCTTTATCAAATAAAATATTCCACTGTTTCATCGATATGTCGTCGAACTCATGGACTTATGTAAATGTTGACATGTCGACAAATATATTTAATACGTTATTTTATACAAAATAGTAAAAAGCATAATCCAGCGATAATTGATATATTTTCAAGTTCAATCTTTTACCCCACATGTTTACCAAGAAAACTTTCTTAGGTAATTTTGAAGCGAGGCAATTAAATAAAATAAAAAATATATATGTAGGGTGCTGGTTAATTTTTTTTTATAAGTGTTGGAGAGAGGAATGTAAAATGATGGACATATCTATTAGGTTGATTGTTATAACCTCCTCTAGTTATGATTCTCCTCTAAATTAGCTAACTTATTCAGTATTATTTGTAAATTAGTTATACTTAGGCTCTATAAAAGAGTTCTTTGTATTCACTTCAAAATTAACACAATACTCTTTAATTATGTTAATATGTTTTATATCTTTCGAAATAATGAATCATTGTTGTCAAATGTTCTAGTGGGTCGGAAGGAGGATAAATGTTGACGGGTCGATAACTAAGTATTGTTGTAAAATAAATATGTATTTTTTAATATAGTAGATTTTTTTTTAATTTTAAAAGGTTGCATAATTCAAATGAAACTCAAATTCAAATACAATGTAAAATACACTTAGAAAAGTCAAATTATTGTAAAATATACCAATATAAGTCAAATTTATGCTATATTTAAAAAAGAAAACATGAAAAGTTTGTTATATTTTTAAGATACATATATATTCCATATTTTGTAAGCTAATCTTTTATGAATTTATTTAATCTTTTAAAGTTCTCGAATTTATCCAACGGATGAATGAAGTTCTCTCTCAAAAAAATAGTTGAAAATTGTTAGCAAAAAAAAATGTTTATTCAATTTTCTTTTAACGTATACATCATTATATAAACACAAGCATGTCACTAAGAAAAAATAAATTTTTTACTAAAAAAGAAAAAATAAATTTAATTGATGGGTGGATGAATTTAAAGAGAAATTAGATGAATCTCGTGATCAGTATTTTAACGATTTCTGTCTTTCTTTAACGATTTTTATCCAATTTTATAATCAATGATTTAATTGAGAATCTTTTATTTTATTCAAAAGTAAGTTGAGAATTAAAAAATAATTAAGTACCATATTGTAAAAAAAGGAGTATGTTAATTCTTTTCGGACAAAAAAGGAGTATGTTAATTCAATCATTATTTGACACGTGCAGATGACGCACGCGCAATGATGCAATTCAGTGACGTATGTAATTGAAAACCTGGGGCCGCTAAAACCACTGTGCGTGGATCGTTTTTTTTTTCTTTCTAATTTTTAAATTAACAATAACAGATATTAATGCTCAAATTTAAAGCAATCCAATTAATTAAAAAAATTTAATACCAAACATGGTAAATTTTCTGAATAGCATTTTTAGTAATCTACAAATTGTATTGTATTAACAGCCTATTTTTAAAATGATTTTGATAGGGTTAAAATTACTTTTACTAATGTCAAAGTCACCTTAATTTTAGAATAAATATTTTTTGTCATATTATGCATGTGACCTTCTTGGAATTTTTCAAACTAAAACCACTCGCTATTTTTAAATTCATTTCACTGATACCAAATGATGTTCAAAAGGTTTCCATTGGTAAGATAGACCTTTCCATAATTTCCTATTATATAATTTTCAAAAATGTCACATTGTCTTATAGTCTGAAAAGACGCACTTGAACATAGTTAATCTAAGGCGAATTGTACCCAATTCCCTTGTCTAACTTCTTCCATTCTTTTTCTCTCATTTCATTCGATTTACCATCTAACTCTTTGGAGTGCAAATAATCTAATACCTAGTTTTTAAAAACAAAAAATTATATCGATTAAAAATTACCAATTTGTCCTCACCTTCCATTGTTCTTCAACCTTGCTCTATGGATAAATAAGCAAGCTAACAACATTATCTCAATCACAGTTTCAAACAATATATGTTAAATAATCTCATATCAGGTTTTGTTTTTAATTATGAGGAAACTAAATAAATTGGAACTATGGTCAAATAGTAGATAAAACCAACCTAAATCTCAAGCAACAAGAACTCAATAAAAAGATAAGGAAGAAAAATTGACACCGAATTTATAGTGGTTCACTCGCCCGACGTCCACAGTTCTCTGCTATCGGCAGGTTTCACTAAATGCCAAGGAGAATCTTTAAGAGTTTATAAATGTTACTTCTCTCACTTTTCTTTCAAAGAAAAAAATACTCACGAATCATTTTACAAATTTACTGCAACTCTTCAATGGCCGTTACACACAAAAGATTACGGAGTTCTCAAACTTCGCACTGTAAAAACCTCACGAAAGAAACTCTCTAAAAAATAAACCCTCACTATACAAAAAAAAAAACCTTCTTTGTATATTAAAATATTTGAGGGGTAGACAATATTTGATGAAGAAGACAAGTGAGGTAGGTTTTGGCTTTAATGTGTATTTAGGCCCAATAACATGCCCTTCAATTTCTTTTAATTTTGACTTTTTGGCTCCACTCTCAACACTCATCGAATGTCGTGTTTTTGGCTTGTTGATCTTCTTTGGATGACCAGCCTCTTAGTTGAGATCTTATTTGGATGATCGGCCTCTTATTTTGTAAGTGAGCAATCATTAAAATCATAAATCCAAGCCTCTCAAACAAACTTCATAAATACAAGTCATAAACCTCTTCCTTTAAATTTATATATTTGAACAACTAAAAACTCAATAAACTTTCTCATAACAAACTTGTAATAACTCTTTCTTTCTAGGCAAATCAAAAAGGCAACGCTTCCAAGCCTAAGATTTGGACCAGGATTCGAAATCCGAATTTGAGCCTAATTGCCCCGACATTCCCCTACGTCTCATGTGTCACAATCGCACTTTAACGGGACTCAGAAAGCGATTGTGCGGCACTTGCTTTCGCCCTCTAGCAAGTCAGCCAATACGAAATCGAATAGCCGGCGGCACAACGACTATATGTCGCAACCTCCACCCCGTTCTCAAGAAAACGGTTTTAGAAAACGAGGTTAGAGAAAGAGGTTTTGGAAAATGTTTGAAAGCATTTTGGAAAGTTGTGGTAAGCTTGAATGCAAGAGAATAGATGAGCGGCAAGATAAAAATACAACGCAATGTAGGGAGGCTGACTAGGTGTACCCCCCTATAGTATATTCTAAGGCATATTTGCTTTGGCAGATATGAACGTGCAAAGTGCGGACTTACTCACCACCAAAAATACAAGGAAAAGAAAATAACATGCGAAACTAAATACATAACATAAAAGTATGTGGAAAAAGGTTGTTATGGGCATGCGGCCACGGGCAACAGACTCTAGACGAGCATGACCATGACATTCTCCCCCACTTAAATAGTTGACGTCCCTGTCAACCGTCGCTGCTCGAACTCTTCAATCGCTGCTACAGTTGTCTTCAGGTCTTCAGTATGCTCCCAACGGATCTCTTCATCTGGGAGCCCTTTCCACTTGACTAAGAATTCCTGTATGTCCCTTCGTGGACTTTCTACTCGGCGTGTTCTTTCAGCGAGGATTGACTCAACTTCTTTGTCAACCTTGTTTGTCAACATGATTGCTGGACGAGTTATCTCATTTCGTGTAGGGTCAACGGTGTCTTGATGGTAAGGCTTCAGGTTGCTCACGTGGATCACTGGATGAATTTTCATCCACAAGGGTAGTTGTACCCTATAGGATGTCTTGCCCACCTTCTAAAGGACGTTGACGGGTCCTTCGTATTTTCGCACAAGGCGTTGATCTTTGTTACCCTGGAAACGAAGTTGTTCAGGTCTCAACTTCACAAGGACTTGATATCCTGCTTGGAATTCTAAAGGTCTTCTCTTTTTGTCTGCCCACTTTTTCATGTGTTTAGATGCCTTCTCGAGGTATGCTTGGGCCACTTCAATGGACTGACACCATTCCTTGGTGAAGTTGTAAGCTTGAGGACTCTTTCCCACATAAGGATGGTCAACAACATGAGGCAACACAGGTTGTCGCCCACACACGATTTCGAAAGGGGTTCTTCCTGTGGTGGTGCTCTTTTGACAATTGAAACATAACTGAGCTACGTCGAGCATCTGGATCCAGTTCTTTTGCCGAGCATCAATAAAATGGCGGAGGTACTCTTCTAGCACACTATTGAAGCGCTTTGTCTGTCCGTTTGTCTGTGGGTGATAACTCGAAGAGATGTTCAAATTGGATTCTAGTAGGCGAAAAAGTTATGTCCAGAATGTCCTTTTGAAACGTCCGTCTCGATCACTCATGATGCTTTCAGGGACGCCCCATAGTTTCACAACATTTCTGAAAAATAACTGTGCAGTCATTTCGGCCTAGCACATTTTCGGAGTTGGAATAAAGGTTGCATACTTAGAGAACCGGTCAACTATCACGAGGATCGCTTCTGTCTCCCCGACTTTTGGTAGGTGGGTGATGAGGTCGAGAGACACGCTCTCCCACGTTCTTGATGGAACTAGCAGGGGTTTCAGCAAACCCGCAATCTTGTTTCGCTCGACCTTATCATGTTGGCAAATAAGACACGTTTTGGTATACTACATCACGTCGTTTTTCAGATTTGACCAATAGTAGCCTTTCTTTAGCAGGGCATAAGTTTTCTGCCATCCAGCATAGTATGCTCATATCGTGTCATAACATTCTCCAAGTAGGAGCTTCCTCAGGTTCCCAGAATAAGGAACGTACAAACTGTTACCTTTTGTGAAGAGAATGTCGTTCTCCACCCAAAACTGTCGAGTCTTCCCTTCATTGGCCAACTGAATTATCGCTTGGGCAGCTGGATCATTCTGTAAATTCTCCTTGATGGCTTCACGAATGGATCATGTTAGCTTACTCGCTTTTAGGTGAGCTAACGTGCACAGGGTCGCATGTTCGCTCTTTCTGCTAAGTGCATCTGCTGCTTGATTTGTCCGACCTGGCTTATGCTCGAACTGAAAATCAAACTCGGCAAGATATTCTTGCCATCTAGCTTGTTTTGATGATAACTTTGGTTGATTGAAGAAATGACAGACTGAACTGTTGTCGGTCTTGACAACGAATTTTGACCTTAGGAGATATTGTCTCCAGGCCCTCAAGCAGTGGACTATTGCTAACATCTCTTCCTCTGAGGCAGCATACCTCCTTTCAGCATCATTCAACTTCTAACTCTCATATGCAATGAGATGACCGTCTTGGAGAAGCACTCCTCCCAGGACAAAGTCTGACTCATCTGTCTCAACTTCAAATGGTCTTGTAACATCTGCAATCCCCAACACTGGCCCCTCCATCATTGCCTTTTTCAAGCTCTCAAACGTGGCTTGACACTCTGGGGTCGAATTCCACTTTTGATTCTTCTTTAGTAGTTCAGTCAAGGGCCCCGTCCTTTTCGATAATCCTTCTACAAATCGCCTATAGTAGTGGGCTAGACCGAGAAATTGTTGGGTGTGTTGCCCTAAACTTGTAGTTTGTATTTTGTAAGGTGCAGAAGGTAGCAGGAGCGTTCATGAGGCCAAAGGGCATGACAAGGAATTCGAAGGCCTCATACCGAGTGACGCAAGTCGTCTTCGGTTCATTTCCTTCTACGATGCGCACCTGATAGTATCCAGATTGCAGACCAGTTTAGAGAAGTACTTTGCCCCATGAAGCTAATCAAATAGGTCTGTGATAATGGGCAAAGGATACTTGTTGCAAACTGTGAGCTTGTTCAATGCTCGATAGTCAATACACAGGCAGAGGCTTCCGTCTTTCTTCTTCTCAAAAAGGACTAGGGCCCCATAGGGAGCCTTAGCCGGGCGGATGAATCCAGCGTTCAATAATTCGTCGAGTTGTTTCCTCAGTTCAGCTAACTCGGGAAGAGCCATCCGATAGGCATTTTTGGCAGGCGATTTCGCCCCTGGTAACAATTCAATTTCGTGGTCTATCCCCCGTTTTGGAGGTAGGGCCTTGGGTAGGTTATCTAGCATTACATCTGCATACACATCTAAGACTCGTTGGATTTCCTAGGGAACTGACTCTTCAGAGTTTCTGCCTTCTACTACAGGGATGACCATGAACGTTGGTTAATCACCAGCAAGACCTTTCTTTAGTTGGAGTGCTGATATCATCTTCACTCCATTTGGTTGTTTGATGCTTGTCTGAACAACCGTGGGATTAGAACCTGTTACAACCAGGCACTTGTCGAGAGGCATGGGGATGACTTTGTGTTCCAAATTCCATTCCCAATACTACGTCGAAGTCATCCATCATCACTATCACAAAATCGACTTGTCCACTCCATGTCCCTAGTTTTACTTAGACTCTCTTAACAACTCCCATGATGGGGAGGGCGGCCGAGTTGACAACTTTCATCTTTCCTATGTCTTTATCTCATCGCAAGTTCAAACGACGTGCTTCGGATTCGATCATGAAATTGTGGGTGGCGCCAGAATCTACCATAATGCTTTTTGCTGCTCTCTAGTTGACCCACGCTTCAACATACATCAGATCACGTTCTAGTGGTTCTTTTACCTCTTCGGCTTTCTTCTGAAGCGCCGACAAGAATTTGAGATGCTCCCATATGAGGGTTGTCATCGACGTCTTCGGGAGGTGTATCTCTTTCGGGGCCTTCCCTTTCGGTCTCTCGATTGTTCGTCAATGTGGCTTGGAAGACCTGGAGGGCGGCCCGATTCGGACACTCATATACTATATCCAGTCCTTTACAAATGAAGCAGGATGGTTCTGTCCGGTTGTTATTATTCTGTGGGTTCGGTCTGCGGTCTCCCCCTCCGTTTATGTCATCTCCCCCATTTTTGGGGAACCCTAATCTAGCGGGTTTGTTTCCACCGCTAGAAGAAGCCTGGGTCATTCTCGGCTCTTGTGATGTATTGTTGGTAAGGTCAAACAGTCGTTCGGCTGTAGCATAAGTGATAGTGATATCTTGCACTTTCTTTTCATACAATTTAGGTCGGGCCCATGGTTTTAAGCCTTCTACAAAGGCAAGGACCTTGTCTTTCTCGGACACTTCAAGAATGTCTAACATCAACCCCGAAAACTGCTTTACATAGTCTCGAATATTTCCTATGTGTCATAATCACGCAGCTTACGACGAGCAAGGATCTCTACGTTTTCTGGGAAGAACTGGGATTTAAGTTCTTGCTTTAGTTTTTTCCATGTGTCGATGGTAAATCTGCCTTCTTGTAAATCTATATATCTCGCTATCCACCACAACTTCGCATCGTAAGCAAGATGCATTGTGTCTAGTGTGACTTTCGATTCCTCTGTCACAGTGTTTGTCGCCTTGAAATACTACTCAAGGTCGAAGATGAAGTTCTCAAGGGCTTTAGCATCTCGCGCCCCACAAAAGGGCTTGGGTTCGGGAACTTTCACCTTGTTGAACTGAATAGGTCCCCCAGTTGGGGCGTGATTTCCCACTGCTCTCATGGTGAGATTTACTCTGGTGCCTAATTCGGCAATCTCTGCCTTCATGTCGTCAATGACGGCTTTGAAGTTGTCGGTCAGCTCACTGACCATCTGAACAATAGTATTTTAAGAGGTGTCCAATTCTTCGACACGCTCCTCCATGTGGGTGATTGAGCTCGATGAGCTTTCGCAACGCTCAAGGTTATTAGTTCTCTTAACCTTACCTTCGAGGGTCTCAACCGAAGCATCAACTCACGTACAGCAAGCCCATCTATGCGGACATTTACGACGTCAATTCCGTCAGCTTTGGTGGAGATCTCATCCAGCCAAGATTCCACATATCCAAGGTTGTTAGGAATTTCCCTCAAGAACAACAGTTGTTCTTCGATCTCGACGAGTCTGTCGACGTAGGACTTGTCCAACTGTTTTATCCCAGACATGGTTACTGTTTTCCAACTCGATGAGCCAACTAGGCTCTGATACCAACTGTCACAATCGCACTTTAACGGTTCTCAGAAAGCGATTGTGCGGTACTTGTTTCGGCCCTCTAGCAAGTTAGCCAATACGAAAATGAATAGCCGGCGGCACAACGACTATATGTAGCAACCTCCACCCCCATTCTCGAGAAAACGGTTTTAGAAAACGGGGTTAGAGAAAAATGTTTAGGAAAACGTTTGAAAGCATTTTGGAAAGTTGTTGTAAGCTTCAATGCAGGAGAATAGATTAGCGGCAAGACAAGAATACAACGCAATGTAGAGAAGATGACTAGGTGTACCCCCTATAGTACATTCTAAGGCATATTTGCTTTGGCAGGCATGAACGTGCAAAGTGGCGAGGAGTCACTTGCCACCAAAAATACAAGGAAAAGAAAATAATATACGAAACTAAATACATGACATAAAAGTATGTGGAAAGAGGTTGTTATGGGCATGCAGGGCAACAGGCCCTGGACCAACATGACCATGACACCCTACGACCAACTTTTCAACCTGCTCTAAAAATACATTCTAAAAATATGTACCTATATTTTATTCTAGTCTACTAGCGCATAATATAATCTCAACACACACAACAAAATAATTCTCTCAACGTCTGACCATCTATTTCTAGGTATACTATAGAAACACATTCATATAGCATACAAGTTCAATAGCATGTTGGTTTGAAAACTTCTTTCTGCATAAAAGATTGTCAAAGAAACACAACTTCTTTCATTCTCAACAGAAATGCTAATACATACATAATATATACAATTCCTCGAAATTCTATATTAATAGATACTAGAAAACATTTAATAAAATAACCACTCACAAATCATTCAAAATAAATAATTCTCTGTCCAATTTCTGCCTAACCTGAAAATCACCCATCCAAATTAATTCACTTCATTCCAACTCAAATCACAATATCTTCAAAATAAAACCAATTACCAATTAAATGCTCATTCTTTTTCTTCGTTAAAAACTCACCTTCTTCTCTATTAGGTGGGTTTGACCATAACCCATTTCATTTCTCTTTCTCTCAAACCACCTCACTTAATCGCCCATTCTTTCTTTTTTATTATTTCTAATTCTTTCTCATTTACCTTATTCACCAAATCCTCTCTCTCTGACGTGGATCCCACTCCCTTTCCTTCTTCATTCTTCATCTTCTTCCTCCAACCCATAAAAAAAAAATCCTCTCCTATGTTTTATTTTTACTGTTTCCCAACCATAAATAAAATCTTCTGTATTTTATTTTGATCTTTCAGTCGAGAACAAGCAGCATCTCCTTTTTTTTTCTTTTTTTTTTTTACTTTCCTTCCCCAAATTTCTACCTTACAAATCATAAACAAAATCTTACCTTCTCTCTAAAATCAAATACCATAAATTTATCATTCATTCTCAGCCATACCTAATACACGTGGATTCACAAAATCAAATTTCTTTCTTTTTCTATAACAAATAACCAAAAATACCAAAATGCCCTTAAAAGATTTCCAACTTTTCTTATTTTATTTTCCCTTTAATTTCTTTTTGCTAAAAGAAACCAAACGGTCCTTACAACTACATATATGGTCCCGTCTCGATATAAGTGATGATACTACCGAAACATGTTCAATATCAAATCTCCACCTATCATTTATTTATTGAAAATTAACTATTATTTTTTTAGTACAACATGTGAGATGGAGATTCGAACCACATCATTATTAATACCAATCAAATATTAATCTTAATACGTAAGTAAATATCAACTGCATTTTAAGAAATAAATTAAATCACATTTGGTTGCCACGTAAATAATATAAATTACTATCGGATAAATCTACTAAGATACTCAGTATCACATATACTTATAACTTATAAGTCGATTGATAACGATATGGTTTTATTAAAAAAAAAAAAGGAAAAAGATAATATTTGATTAATCTTTTTATAATATTTTATTTTTCACACAGCGTTGAGAATTTGGGGTTCCGCCGCCGCCACAGTTCTTTTTAATAAAAAATAATATTTAGAGATATAGAGCGAAAGTTCACCACCACCGTTGGATGATCCGAAAATTCCCTCATCAATTTCAGGGAAAAAGAATATCGGACGGCTGAACTGGTTCGTAGCCAGCTGTTTCAGAAGCGTGAAAATTTAATTCTATAGATGGGTTATTAATAATTTATCGTGGCTCATCGACCAAGGAAAACGACGTCGTTTGGGTGTACCGCATGAAACCAGAAGATCAAATTTCTTTTCCAAACTTGACCCTAAAATTTTAAAATGAAAAAATAAAAAAATAAATTGTAAGTTTGATCCCAAACATCAAAGCTTCTGCATAATAAATCTCCAACTATAAAACTACCTGACAAATTTCTAAAACTTCCAATATTCTTTTAATAGATTCTACGATCTTAAAA